GGGCAGGGAGCAGCAGCAGCGGAAGGAGCTGCTGCGGGTCAAGCAGGACCAGCTGCTCTCCGTGCACTCCACCCTGCAGCTGATGCGCTCCCGGGGCAGCACCGAGGAGCCGGCCGGCTGGAGCGCCGCCCCGGAGCAGGGCCCGGGGAGCGCCGGGGAAGAGCGGCTGCCTGCAGGCCAGGGCCAGGAGGGAGCGGCGTGTGAACGGGTCAAGGGGGTGGGCGCCTCCTGCGGGGACGGCGCCCGGGAGGAGGAGCAGAGGAAGGCGAAGGAGAGCGCCTGGGAGGGGAGAAAGGACAAGCAGGCCGGCTGGTGGTACCAGCTCATGCAGAGCTCCCAGGTTTACATCGAGGGCTCGGCCGAGGGCTCCAAGTTCATCCGCCCCGAGAAGAAGAAGCAGAAGGCGCCAGGAGCTGTGCCCAGGCTGGCCGAGGGCGGGAAGGCGCCCCCTCCCCGCGAGGGTGTGGTGGAGGGGGCGGAGGCCTGCCCTGTCACCGAGGGGGCTGTGGAGGAGAAGCCCAAAGCTGCGGCAGAGCCCGGGGAGAAGCCAGGCGAGGCCAGCGAGCGGAGCTGGCCCTCCTGGATGGGGAGCCCCCCGGACTCGGTGCTAGCAGAGCTGAAGCGCAGCAAGGAGAAGGAAAATGGGGCTCCCCACAGACAAGGGGTGGTCGCGCCCCCCGTGGCGGAGAGCAGCCCTGGGCCCCCCGACGGCAGCCAGCCCACCAAGTGGGGACACCTGTTCGGGGCTAGGAAAGTGCAGAAGGAGGCCAGGCAGCCCAACAGGTAGGGACGTGAGTGCTGGGCCCACTCACCGCCCAGAGTCTCGGGCACAGGCCAGGGGCCGCCCCACAGGAGACGGTTCACCCCAGCCCGTCACCCCCCGAGGTAGCAGGAGGAGCTGAGCTAGCGCGGTCTGGGGCAGAATGGCTCAGGCGAGGGCGCTGTCTGAGCTGGGATGCACCCAGGGCATCTGCCTTCCCCAGAGGTGGCTGCATTTTGGGGGAGACGTGATCCCTCTGTGGGAGCAGGGCCCATCAGGGTCTGTCAGGCTAGGAATAGAACCTGTCCCCTCCCCGGCAGGGCCGAGCCGCCCGCCAGGTCCAGCTTCTCCTAGCCCCGGGGCCCTGGGACATGTCCCCGCCTGACTCCGCGCCCTTCCTTTCAGGTTACCCTCTGGCTGGCTGACCCTGGACCGGTCTGTGTTCCAGCTCATGGCCCAGACGGTGGGGGCAGGAATGTGGAGAGAGGCGGCCCCTGAGCCCGAGCGACCACAGGCGGAGCTGCCCAATGAGCCCCCTGAACAGCAGCTAGCTGGGGGGCTGCCCCCCCAAATCCCCTGGTGAGTGGCGGGGGCAGAACCCCGGGGCGGGTGCGGAGTTCAAGCTGACAAGGGATCGGTTGGGCCCCTTCCATGCAACACGGCCTAGCACCACCTTCCTCGGGGGGGGGCACCCCTTCCTCACCCCCAGCTCCAGGGAATAGGGGAGCTTAGTCCAGTGCCCACTGGGCAGGACCCTCTCCCCGCTGCGCGACCATGGAGCTGGCAGCTGTCCATGCCCCATGAGATGAGCCGCAGGCCTCGCTGCACCCCAAACTCCCCTGCGGGGCTGGGCTGCACTTGGTATGCTCTCCACTCGGTGAGAGACACCCCCAAACCCCACCCTGGCAGCCCCCTGCCCTGCAGCTGAGAGACACCCCCTGCCCCAGCCCCCGAACCGCACCCCCTGCCCCACAGCTGAGAGATACACAGCCGGCCCCAAACCCCACCCCAGCCCCCTGCCCTGCAGCTGAGAGACACCCCCGGCCCCAGCCCCCGAACCGCACCCCCTGCCCCACAGCTGAGAGATACACAGCCGGCCCCAAACCCCACCCTGGCAGCCCCCTGCCCTGCAGCTGAGAAACACCCCCTGCCCCACCCCCCGAACCGCACCCCCTGCCCCACAGCTGAGAGATACACAGCCGGCCCCAAACCCCACCCCAGCACCCTGGCAGCCCCCTGCCCTGCAGCTGAGAGACACCCCCTGCCCCAGCCCCCAAACCCCACCCCAGCACCCTGGCAGCCCCCTGCCCTGCAGCTGAGAGACACCCCCTGCCCCACCCCCCGAACCCCACCCCCTGCCCCACAGCTGAGAGATACACAGCCGGCCCCAAACCCCAACCCAGCACCCTGGCAGCCCCCTGCCCTGCAGCTGAGAGACACCCCCGGCCCCAGCCCCTGAACCCCACCCCAGTGCCCCCTGTCCCGCGGCTGAGAGACACCCCCGGCCCCAGCCCCCGAACCCCACCCCAGTGCCCCCTGTCCCGCGGCTGAGAGACACCCCCGGCCCCAGCCCCCGAACCCCACCCCAGTGCCCCCTGTCCCGCGGCTGAGAGACACCCCCTGCCCCAGCCCCGGAACCCCACCCCAGTGCCCCCTGTCCCGCGGCTGAGAGACACCCCCTGCCCCAGCCCCCGAACCGCACCCCCTGCCCCACAGCTGAGAGATACACAGCCGGCCCCAAACCCCACCCCAGCACCCTGGCAGCCCCCTGCCCTGCAGCTGAGAGACACCCCCTGCCCCAGCCCCCGAACCCCACCCCAGTGCCCCCTGTCCCGTGGCTGAGAGACACCCCCTGCCCCAGCCCCCGAACCGCACCCCCTGCCCCACAGCTGAGAGATACACAGCCGGCCCCAAACCCCACCCCAGCACCCTGGCAGCCCCCTGCCCTGCAGCTGAGAGACACCCCCTGCCCCAGCCCCCAAACCCCACCCCAGCACCCTGGCAGCCCCCTGCCCTGCAGCTGAGAGACACCCCCGGCCCCAGCCCCCGAACCCCACCCCAGTGCCCCCTGTCCCGCGGCTGAGAGACACCCCCTGCCCCAGCCCCCGAACCCCACCCCAGTGCCCCCTGTCCCGCGGCTGAGAGACACACACCCGGCCCCACACCCCAAACCCCACCCCAGCACTGCTCCGGGGCAGCCAGGCTGGGAATCATTGCAGAGGGGGTGATGGGAAGGACTGTGATGGGGGGGCTGGCAGGGGAGGAGGGTTCTGGGTGCAGGTGCCCCGGCCTGGGGGGGGGTGTCTCGTTTGCCCCCCCCGGCCGGCACGGCGCCTGCTCCCCAAGGGGCAGAGCGGAGGGCGCCCGTCCTGCGAGCAGCGCCAGCCCTCCCATGCGTCACGCGCCTCCCCTCCGCTCTCCCCGCAGCGAGGTGAAAGCGCTTTGCCATCACATTGCCACCGAGGCGGGCCAGCTGAGCTTCACCAAAGGGGCCGTCCTGCGCGTGCTGGCCAAGGTGGACAGCGACTGGCTGCAGTGTGGGCTGGGCTCGCAGAGCGGGCTGGTGCCCATCATGTACGTCACCCACCCGGCGGACGAGGACTACTGACGGGGCCGGGACGCCGCGCCCAGGACCAAAGGGGGGACAGACGCCGCTTCTCGCTAGTCCGTACCGTGCCCGCCCTGCCGGACATCCCGTGACCCTGGGGGCGCCTCGCCCGCCCCAGGCACCTGCCACGGCTGCTGCGCCCCGGGGGACCCCGCGCCAGGCACCACCGTGCATGCAGCCCCCCCAGGGACTCGCCCGTCACCCCGCTCATCTCCAGCCCCGCATGCCCTGGCCCCCTATGTAGCAGGACTCCAGGCGGCGTCGCTCTGCAGCAGGGGCTGCCCAGCCAAGGACCCTGATGGGCTGGGGGCGTGCGGGCTCCCGGCTCCCGGACTGGGCAGAGGCTGGCCGCAGGAGACTACAGCCCCCAGCATGCACTGCTCCGCCCCGTCAGAACCAGCTGGCCCAGAACCATCTGCTCTGCAGGCCGCCCCCTTGTGGCGTCAGGCGGCATTGCCGAGCTCAGGCCCCTTTTGCTCGGGAGCAGGGGCTCTTGGCCGGGGCCCGATCAGCGCACGGCTGTGGCCCATGTGACATGCTCAGGGCCATACAGGGGGGCTGTATTGTGTGGCGGGGCCCAGGGGGGACACACGGCAGCTCAGCTGCGGAGCCTGGCTCGAGGGCGGCCCCGGGCGCGGACTGTGCGAGTACCGCAGCATGCATTGTACCCAGCCCGTCGCCAGCCCCGGGTCCCAGCCAGCGGCCTGGCACGGCCACGCCACGGGGCCGCCTGCGTCTAGGCCAAGGCCATTCAGTGTTGGGGGGGGGTGAGCCCCCAGCGGGTTAGTTCCAGCCCCGTGCAGACACAGCACTGCGGGGTGCATGCCCCCCCCACCCCCCATCTGCTGCTCCAGCCATGGGGACAAGGCCATTCCCAGCAGGTGGGGGGGGCAGTGCCCGCAGCAGGGGCGGTTGGGGGCACTCCCAGCATGGCCAGGGCCTGGCTACGGGCTCTTGTCTCCGCAAGGGGCAGGCTGTATGAGTCAGGCAGGGCCCTGCCTGCGGCTGAGTTCCCAGCCGTGCCTTGGGGGCGGGAGAGCAGGGCCTGGGCCCCTAGCAGGAGGCGCCACTGTCAGTTAACCCTTGTCCTGCCGTGCTCACCCCATTCCCAGGGCGGGCACGTGGGCAGTGCCAGGCAGTATTAGTGTGAGGCCGTGCCGGTATTTGTTGCCAGGATGGTGCTGGTGTCTGGGCAGCGTGAGGCCCGGGCTGGCTGCCCCGGGGCCAGGGGCCCGCGTCTCGCCAGGTTCCCACCTGCTTGTACATCGCTCGCGGCCGCTGCGCCCTGTGTGCTGTGGCCATTCCCGGAGGGGCGGGGCCGACTTTATTTATTTCTTTATTTATGAGGCATATTAATAAAAAAGGTGCTGACCCAGCTCACCCCAGCACCCGCCCCCTGGTGTCGCCCCCTGCCCCAGAGCACTGTTCCGGGCCTCGGGCCCAGTGGGCTGGCTTTGGGCCCAGTCGGGCTTGGCCCTGCAGCCCGGAGGGGCAGAGCTGCCCTCGGCTCGGGGCAATGCTAGCCCTCGTGCTCTGTTGGCAGTGCCCCCGCCTTGGCACCAGCCCGTGGGCCGTGCAGCATCACACCTCGGGGCTGGTGGCACTCCCTGCCGGGGAGGCTGCCCGTGTTGGGTGGGAAAGATTCAGCCAGGGCTGCGGAGCAGGAGCACTGATTTAAACACCCCACCCGGCACGTCGCCGCCGACGGTTTGCAGCGCAGCCGGGCAACATGGAAGGGCAATAGAGTTTGTGGCTCCTTCTCTTTATTGCTCCTGTACACGGCGGGGCAGCCTCCAAACAGCTCCGGGAAGGAACCGGCCCAGCCCCGCTGCTAGTCGGCCATCTGCTTCTCCAGGGTGCTCAGCCCCAGGGCGTTGTGGGTAAGCTGGCCGTAGGTGTGGCCAAACTGGAACTTGTAGCCTGCGGGCAATGAGAAGGAGCCCGTGAGAGGAGCCCACCTGGGGCAGATGCAGCCCGGTCCCTGGGGCTGCAGCTACGGAAGGCCCAACGTGCACTGGACAGCACAAAACACCTACCCGGCGGGGGAGCCATCGCCCATTGGCAGGACTGGGCACCCCGTCACTTGGGGCCTTTAGTCTGCATAAAGCCCCTGCCCCAGCCTGGCGCTGCCCCCCATGGGCTGTATGAGCCACTGCCTGCAACCGCCGCTCTCTTGGACTCAGCAGCAACGGAGAAGCCCTGCGGGAGGGGTGCAGGACCTGCCAGCTGGGAGGCTGCCCCCTGGGTTTAACTGCTCGCACAGTAAGCTCCAGATCAGGCTGATGGCAGCTCTCCGTGTGCCAGGGATGCTGTGTTAGGAGCCCACCATGACTCTGGCAAGGCAAATGGTCAGCCCTGCAGAGGCAGAGCCATGGGCAGCGTTAACCGGCAAATGTCAACGTCTGGAAATTCAATCAGGTCCCCAAAGCCCCTTAACTCTGACCAGTATCCTGGCCCACTGTCCCCACCTGGTGGTGTCTAGGGCTCGCTGCATCGTAGCTGAGGGCTATGACCAAGGCTGTATTAATCACCTACCCCATGGACCCCGTGAGCCGGTGCTGAGTGGGGCGCGCGGGGGGTTGATCTGCAGCGACCGTCCACCAGTGATGGTCTTTCCCGCACACTGGGCTGCAGGTGCCGATGCTGGGCTTGTCTGGCAGTACAGTGAGATGGGATGGGGCTGTGGGCCGGGATGGAGCCGTGGAGAGTTTGGGGGTCCAAATTAAGGGGGTTTGTGGGATCTGCTGTGAGTCCTTCCTGGTCTTTCCTTCCATTGGCATTGCAGGAGCCAGCCGCGGGTGCCCACTTTTCCGCAGGGAATGCCCGTCGTGCTGGCTACTTTGTCCCTTCCTAGCCGGCTGCCCTGGGTCCTTTCCCGGGGCCGCACCGCTCACCTGGGACGTAGCCTGCATAGTGGGGCAGCAGCCCCATGTCCGTGGGGTACGACTTCAGCAGCGGAGGAAGGACCGTGCTGCCTTTCCCGGCCTCAGGCCTGCTCCCTCTGTTCTGGCCAAACTCCACCAGGGCACGGTGGGTGGTCAGCGGGTAGCCTGCCCCGATCAGGAAGCGGGCGCGGGGCACAAAGCCGGTGAAGCCTGCTCAGGTCACAGGAGGCTAACCTGAGCCCTGATGCCTGGAAATGAGCCCAGCCCCACCACAGCCTCCCCACAGCGGACTGGCTCTTCCAGACCCAGCAGCCAACGAAGCAGCTGGGGGGCAGACCGTGTGGGTCGTGCCAGGGCCCCTGCAGGGACAGTACGTTCCCACCACACCAGCACCCCAACTCGGGGCCCCAAGTCACCCCCTCCAGCCCCCTAGCACTATGGGGGCCCCAGAGCTCTCTGCCAGACCCTGGGTGTGACTGGCGTCGCAGAGGCAGGTCCTTGGCTGGTAGGATGGTTGGTCCTTGCAGGACTCTGGATTAAAGGATGAAGAGGGGGGCTCCCAGGACCCCCCCCCAACACACTCCCTCCCTTCTGCTCCCTGAATCCCAGCCCACATGCCCAGCCCCAGCCCTGCAGGCTCACCCGAGATGAAGCACTTGTGGGGGTTGTTGTCCTCCATGGAGTAGGGGGAGCCCTGTGGTTGGAAGGCAAAGGGCAATCCGTACGGGGCTGCTGCCAGGCCCGGAGTCCTGTACTTGGCGGTGAGAAGCTGGGGGTGCAGAATGGGGGTCATCACACAGGGGTCCCCGTGGGGGGACGGGTCAGGGAGCGCTGCCTAAGCTGGGTGGGCCGGGCACACGTCACGGGGCAATGCTCTCGCTGTTAGAGGAACCGGCCAGAGAGCTCCCTGTGCCACCCCAGGCTGGAGCAGACACTGGTGTAAGAACAGGAGCAGCTAAATAAGCCAAACCCATCGGGCTGAGCGCAGCAGAGCCCACAGGCTAAGCAGGGCCGCTCTTGGCAGGCAGACGTCCAAGGAAACCCCAGGTGCTGCAGGGAGCAGCATGGGGGGGGGTCAGTAGGGGGCGCTCTCCCCTGGCAGTCAGGGCTGGCCCTATTGCCCTGTCCGGGGCTGTACATGGGGGAGGTGCAGAGGGCCCAAGGGGTAGGTGCAGGGGGGGTGCAGGGGCGTGGGACTCTCCTGGGCTGTGCGTGGGGTAGGTGCAGGGGCGGTGGGCCTGTCTGGGGCTGTGTGGGGTAGGTGCAGGGTCCATGGGGTAGGTGCAGGGTCCATGGGGTAGGTGCAGGGGGAGTGGGCCTGTCTGGGGCTGTGCATGGGGTAGGTGCAGAGGGTCCATGGGGTAGGTGCAGGGGGGTGCGGGGGAGTGGGCCTGTCTGGGGCTGTGCATGGGGTAGGTGCAGAGGGTCCATGGGGTAGGTGCAGGGGGAGTGGGTCTGTCTGGGGCTGTGTGGAGTAGGTGCAGAGGGTCCATGGGGTAGGTGCAGGGGGAGTGGGTCTGTCTGGGGCTGTGTGGGGTAGGTGCAGGGTCCATGGGGTAGGTGCAGGGGGAGTGGGCCTGTCTGGGGCTGTGCATGGGGTAGGTGCAGAGGGTCCATGGGGTAGGTGCAGGGGGGGTGAAGGGGCATGGGTCTGTCTGGGGCTGTGTGGAGTAGGTGCAGGGGGAGTGGGCCTGTCCGGGGCTGTGCGTGCCGACAGTCGCTCCCAGCAGAGCAGCCCAGCGTGTCTGTCGGTGGGGAAGGGGTGTCTCTGTTGCTGGGGGGAAGGGGACAGAGCCAATCAGTAACATCCCCCAAGCTGCCCCGTGAGCCAGAGGGCCTCGCCCCCAGAGCGCCGAGCTCTGCTAGCCCGTGTGGCCTCGCGAGGCGCCCAGCTGGGGCCGCAGGATTGATGGTGGCCAAGCTCCCTGCCCAGGCTGCTCCTTGCTCAGTGCCCCACACACCTGCATTCTCAGACCCTGGGGACACTGTAGCAGGCAGGGCACACACCCCCCAGCATGCTGCCGGCGTGGCAGGAGAAGTGCTGTGGCCCCTGGGGGCAGGGGGCAGTTCCTGGTGTGGCAGGTGACAGGCGTGGGTGCCCCGGGGGCAGGGGCAGTTCCTGGTGTGGCGGGTGAGGGGCCGTGGGTGCCCCGGGGGCAGGGGGCAGTTCCTGGTGTGGCGGGTGAGGGGCCGTGGGTGCCCCAGGGGCAGGGGGCAGTTCCTGGTGTGGCGGGTGAGGGGCCGTGGGTGCCCCAGGGGCAGGGGGCAGTTCCTGGTGTGGCGGGTGACGGGCCGTGGGTGCCCCGGGGGCAGGGGGCAGTTCCTGGTGTGGCAGGTGAGGGGCCGTGGGGGGGCAGGGGGCAGTTCCTGGTGTGGCGGGTGACGTGCTGTGGCCCCTGGGGGCAGGCAGCAGGGGCAGGCTCCAGGGGGGCAGCAGCAAGATGCCAAGTCGCTCTGGTGACTCACTTTGCCCTTGGTGCCCTGGGGCAGCCGCCCTGCCTTCTGCAGCTCCTGCTCCTGGCCTGCGGCTCTCAGCTGCTGCCTGGCAAAGTCACTCCTGGCCTCCTTGCAGATCTCGGAGTAGGTCTTGGCGAAGAGATTCTGGGCCCTGGGAATGAATCCTGGGAGCAGGGCGGCCCCAGTGCCCGGAGATGCAGGCGAGATGAGAGGCAGGTTAGTAGCCCCAGAGCCCTGCTGCGTGTGGGAGGGCAGGGGAAATAGGGCAGGGGAGAGCTGGAGGGCTCAGGGGTGGGGGAGTCCTGGTAAGGGGGTGATGCCAGCTGGAGGGGCGTTCCCCGGGCCCAGCCTTGCAGAGCCCAGCTGTGTCATGCTGGGCACTGAGACCAACCCGAGGGAGAGGCACAAAGACAGAGCTAAAAGAAAAGGAGGACTTGTGGCACCTTAGAGACTAACCAATTTATTTGAGCATGAGCTTTCGTAAGCTACAGCTCACTTCATCGGATGTAGCTCACGAAAGCTCATGCTCAAATAATTTGGTTAGTCTCTAAGGTGCCACAAGTACTCCTTTTCTTTTTGCGAATACAGACTAACACGGCTGTTACTCTGAAAGACAGAGCTGGAATCCACTAAGCGGGCGCTCCGGAGGGGGGGATCCCCAGGGGCTACGGGAGATTTTCGGGGTGTCAGTGGCTACGAAAGCAATTCTCTGAGTGCAATCCGGGCCTTCGGGGGGAAACGGCAGGTCCCCCCTTTCTTTTCACAATAACCAGGGGAAATGCCTAGGGTGCCTGGCTAATGCTGCCAGTGGGGCACTGCCAGGGGGCGGCTTTGCCCCACTAGTGGTGCCACCATGGCAGCGTGGCAGCGCGGCAGGTGGGGGCATCCTGCAGGCAACGTGGTACAGAGGACTGGCCCCTCTGCTGAGCGGCGCCTCCTGTCGGCTGAGCCCAGCCCGGGGCACAGGGAGAGACGCACCAGAGGGGGCTGCTTGCGGCTCCCCATGCCAACGGCGTGCCCCTGACCCCCACTCAGGCTAGCAGGCCGGCCTGGGCTGATCCCGCACGACCCCTCCCGTGGCCCTGGACGGGGAGGGGCACCGGCACCAGGTGTGAGCAGAGGCCCTTGGACAGAGCCCGCTGGGTCATGTGCCGCACTGAGTCCCCAAGAGGAGCCCGGTTGCGATTGAGGGAGGATCTCTGGTGCCCAGCATGGTCTCCTGGGCGGGGGCGGGGGCGGGGGGGCAGCTTGTGGCATGGATGGAGTCCCTAGGAAAGGCGGGAGCAGTGGCCAGCATGGCTCCCAGGCCCCCACCCCCCTACAGCCGGCCATGGAGCCCAGCGAGCGTGGGGGGCAGCTGCCCCGTCTCCCACCTGTGTAGCCTGGGATCACGCAGCATCCCAGCGGCTGAGCTCCTGCCCCCCAGCAGGCCGGCCTCGTCCCCAGCAGCTCCCCTGCCTGCTGCACGGGCTGGGCACCATGGCAGGGCCAAGGGGCGGGCTGCAGCATCAGCTGGCTGGAGCCGGCCACCTCGGGGCTGGTCGGGAGCGGTGAGATCAGCTGCCCGCAGCTCTCGTTCGGAGGGCAGTACCCGGCGGAGCTGCAAAGGGCACAGGCAGCAGGGCTGAGGCAGGGCCCAGAGCGAACCGCCGCCCCCAACATCCCGGAGCCACTGAACAAATCCCCAGGGCAGCCGACCCCAGACTCGCCCTGGGGCTGCTGCCCTGTCCCGCGGGGGAGATGCAGCTCCAGGAGTGGGGCCTGCAAGCTCAGATGGCTCCCAGCAGCCGTCAGCCCGGCCCACGGTGGGCTTGGGGCACCTACGGCTGTGCAGGAGGCAGCCGTGACAGCTCAGGGCCGGGGATGCCCATGAGACAGAGCAAAGGGGAGCTGGACCGGGGTGCTGGGCACAGCGGGCACGGGGGGCTCTCCCTTGCCTTCTGCCACGGGGCTGGGCCTGGACCTGGGGGCAGACAGGGTGTTGGGCTCTCCCCCATCTCAAGGCGCCAGCGGCCCTCGCAGTTTGGGTAGGGCCGGGCGCAGCCTGCCCAGTGCCTCCGTGCCAGGGGGGTCTGTGTGCCAGGGGCAGAGATTGCCTGGGACAGCGATCCTTTCCTGGGAGGGAGGCGGGAGCCGTGGGGGGAAAGCTGCAACCCCCCCTGCACCCCCCACTCTGCTCCACTCCCCCTTTTGCCTCTTCCCCCCCACTCTGCTCCCCCTGCCCCTCCCCCCACTCTGCTCCACTCCCCCTCCTGTCCCTTCCCACCCGCTCTGCTCCCCCTGCCCCTCCCCTCCCCCACTCTGCTCTGCTCCCCCTCCTGTCCCTTCCCACCCGCTCTGCTCCCCCTGCCCCTCCCCTCCCCCCACTCTGCTCTGCTCCCCCTCCTGTCCCTTCCCACCCGCTCTGCTCCCCCTGCCCCTCCCCTCCCCCACTCTGCTCTGCTCCCCCTCCTGTCCCTTCCCACCCGCTCTGCTCCCCCTGCCCCTCCCCCTCCCCCCACTCTGCTCTGCTCCCCCTCCTGTCCCTTCCCACCCGCTCTGCTCCCCCTGCCCCTCCCCTCCCCCACTCTGCTCCGCTCCCCCTCCTGTCCCTTCCCACCCGCTCTGCTCCCCCTGTCCCCCGCTCCCCCCACTCTGCTCCACTCCCCCTCCCGCCCCTTCCCACCCGCTCTGCTCCCCCTGCCCCCCGCTCCCCCCACTCTGCTCCACTCCCCCTCCTGTCCCTTCCCACCCGCTCTGCTTCCCCTGCCCTCCCCCTTCTGCCCCCCACTCTGCTCTGCTCCCCCTCCTGTCCCTTCCCACCTGCTCTGCTCCCCCTGCCCCCCGCTCCCCCCACTCTGCTCCACTCCCCCTCCTGTCCCTTCCCACCCACTCTGCTCCCCCTGCCCCTCCCCCCCCACTCTGCTCCGCTCCCCCTCCTGTCCCTTCCCACCCGCTCTGCTCCCCTCCCCCCCCTCCCCCCTCCTCCCCTGCCCCTCCCCCCCCCCACCCCCTCTGCTCCACCTCCCCCCCTCCCCCTCCCGCCCCTTCCCACCCGCTCTGCTTCCCCTGCCCTCCCCCTTCTGCCCCCCACTCTGCTCTGCTGCCCCTCCCGCCCCTTCCCACCCGCTCTGCTCCCCCTGCCCCCCGTTCCCCCCACTCTGCTCCACTCCCCCTCCTGTCCCTTCCCACCCACTCTGCTCCCCCCGCCCCTCCCCCCCCCACTCTGCTCCACTCCCCCTCCTGTCCCTTCCCACCCACTCTGCTCCCCCCGCCCGTCCCCCCCCACTCTGCTCCACTCCCCCTCCTGTCCCTTCCCCCCCACTCTGCTCCCCCCGCCCCTCCCCCCCACTCTGCTCTGCTCCCCCTCCCTCCCCTTCCCACCCGCTCTGCTTCCCCTGCCCCCCCCTTCTGCCCCCCCCACTCTGCTCTGCTCCCCCTCCTGCCCCTTCCCACCCGCTCTGCTCCCCCTGCCCCCCACTCCCCCCACTCTCCTCTGCTCCCCCTCCCCTCCCGCTCCTGCCCCTTCCCTCCCCCCCTTGCTCGCCCCTCCCGCTCCTGCTGCTCGAGGCTTCTCGCTCCCGCTCCGGCCAGCCGGGCTCGGCGTCCTGTTGCCATGGCAACCCCCGCACACAGCGCCGGGGCTGAGCCGGGCAGGCACCAATCGCGGGGCGCGCCGGGTCCCGGCTCCCTGCAGCCCCCCCCCCGGGACACCCCCCCATGCAATGTCCCCCCCCCGGGAGTGCGCCGGGTCCCGGCTCCCTGCAGCCCCCCCCCCCGGGACACCCCCCCCCCATGCAATGTCCCCCCCCCGGGAGTGCGCCGGGTCCCGGCTCCCTGCAGCCCCCCCCTCCGGGATACCCCCCCCCATGCAATGTCCCCCCCCCCGGGAGTGCGCCGGGTCCCGGCTCCCTGTAGCCCCCCCCTCCGGGATACCCCCCCATGCAATGTCCCCCCCCCCCGGGAGTGCGCCGGGTCCCGGCTCCCTGCAGCCCCCCCCCCGGGACACCCCCCCCCCCCATGCAATGTCCCCCCCCGGGAGTGCGCCGGGTCCCGGCTCCCTGCAGCCCCCCCCCGGGACACCCCCCCATGCAATGTCCCCCCCCCGGGAGTGCGCCGGGTCCCGGCTCCCTGCAGCCCCCCCCGGGACACCCCCCGCCAGCGCCCCCCCCTCCGCAGGGCGCAGCGCGGGCGGGGCAGATCCTCCTCGCAGCCCCCGCCTTACCCGGCGCCGTGGTGCGGGTCGGGGCTCGCCAGGCTGCGGCCGAGCTTGGGGGCGAAGGCGGCGGCCATGGCCCGCGGGCGGCTGGGTGCTGCGGGCGGCGTCGGGCGGAGCAGCCGGTGCCCCGGGGACACGAGCCGGGGACAGCGCCCGCCCCCGGTGGGCTGGCCCGGCCACACGGGCAGGGCGAGACCCGGCTGCCCGGAGCGGAGGCTGGAGCCGGGGTGTCACGGAGTGTGGGGGAGTCCAGGCCCTGCACCCTCTTCCTGGGATCCACTGAGACTCTCAGCCAGCCAGTAAAACAGAAGGTTTATTGCACAACAGGAACACAGTCCACAACAGAGCTTGTGGGTACAACCAGGACCCCTCAATCACATCCTTCTGGGGGAGCAGGGAGCTTAGACCCCAGCCCTGGGGTTCCCTGCGTTCCTCCACCCACCACCAAACTGAAAACTAAACCCCCCCCAGCAGGCTCCCTCCTGCAGCCTCCGTCCACATTCCCGGGCAGAGGTGTTACCTCCCCCTCCCCCTCCTGGCTCAGGTGACAGGCTCTCAGGTCTCCCATCCCCAGGGCACATTCCCAGGTCAACACTCCCCCCTCCCTGCTGAGTCACATCGTCACATCTCTCCCCCCTTCGAGACTGAACTGAGCGGGGTCACTGTGACCAGTGACCTGGGGAAGTTCGGGGCCCCCTCTCCGGGACAGCGCATCCGCTATCAGGTTGGCACTTCCCTTCACGTGGACCACGTCCATGTCGTAATCCTGCAGGAGCAGGCTCCATCTCAGGAGCTTGGCGTTGGCTCCTTTCATCTGGTGCAGCCAGGTCAGGGGAGAGTGGTCGGTGTACACGGTGAAGTGTCGCCCGAAGAGATAGGGCTCTAGTTTCTTTCTAGTTTCATGGCCAGGCACTCCTTCTCGATGACCACGTAGTTCTGCTTCTGGGGTAACAACTTCTTGCTCAGGTACACGGTGGGGTGTCTCTCCCCCTTTTCATCCTCCTGCATTAACACCGCCCCCAGTCCCGTGTCGGAGGTGTCGGTGAACACCACAAAGGGCTTGTCAAAGTCTGAGTTTGCCAGAACTGGGCCACTGACCAGAGCCTCCTTCAGCGCCCGGAAAGCCTCCTGGCACTGCTCGGTCCAGACCACCTTGTCTGGCTTCCCCTTCTTGCATAGCTCCGTGATGGGGGTGGCGATGGCGCGAAAGTGGGGCACAAACCTTCGGTAGTATCCTGCCATCCCAATAAAGGCTTGGACCTGCTTTTTGGTGTGGGGAGCGGGCCAGTCTCTGATCACCTCCACCTTGGCTGGTTCCGGCTTTAGGCGGCCGCTCCCCACCCGATAGCCCAGGTAAGATACTTCAGCCATCCCCACCTTGCACTTCTCCGCTTTTACAGTCAGCCCAGCCCCCTGGAGTCGGTCCAGCACTTGTCTAACCTGGGACACATGGTCCTCCCAGGTCTGGCTAAAGACACAGATGTCATCAATATACGTCACGGCAAAACTCTCCATCCCCCTCAGGAGCTGGTCCACTAGGCGCTGGAAGGTGGCCGGCGCTCCCTTGAGGCCGACAGGCAGGGTCAGGAACTCATAGAGCCCCAGAGGGGTGATAAAGGCCGATTTCAGCCGGGCATCTGCATCCAGCGGCACTTGCCAGTAGCCCTTTGTAAGGTCCATGGTGGTAAGGTACCAAGCTCGTCAGGCCTGGGCATGGGGTAGGTGCCAGGCGCTGCACAGACAAACAGCGAGAGACAGGCCCTGCCTCAAAGAACTCCGTCTGCAACTGCACGTCACACTGAGGGTGGAAGACGGGAAGAGTGGCTGTTATGACCCCATTTCAGGGGTGGGGAATTGAGGCCCAGGGTCCAATACATGACAGCTTGTTCCTCTCCCTCCTCCCCTCCCTATTCTTTGCTCAGCCAATAGGAATGCAGAGGTGTAGCTAGATGAGCCAATAGCAGGGCTGGGAGCCTCCGCAGCACTTTTTCATAGAAGATCAGGGCTGGAAGAGACCTCGGGAGGTTCTAGTCCAACCCCCCTGCTCAAGGCAGGACCAACCCCAACTAAATCATCCCTGCCAGGGCTTTGTCAAGCTGGGCCGTAAAAACCTCTAAGGAAGGAGATTCCACCACCTCCCAAGGTAACCCATTCCAGTGTTTCACCACCCTCCTAGTGAAATAGTGTTTCCTAATATCCAACCTAGACCTCCCCCACTGCAACTTGAGACCATTGCTCCTTGGTTCTGTCATCTGCCACCACTGAGAACAGTCTAGATCCCTCCTCTTTGGAACCCCCTTTCAGGTAGTTGAAGGCTGCTATCAAATCCCCCCTCATTCTTCTCTTCTGCAGACTAAACAATCCCAGTTCCCTCAGCCTCTCCTCATAAATCATGTACCCCAGCCCCCTAATCATTTTCGTTGCCCTCCACTGGACTCTCTCATGGTCACTGCTGCCCAGGTTGCCACCCACTTATACTTCCCCTACCAGTTCTTCCCTGTTTGTGAGCTGCAGGTCAAGAAGAGCTCTGTCCCTAGTTGGTTCCCCCAGCACTTGCACCAGGAAATTGTCCCCAACATTTTCCAAAAACTTCCTGGATTGTCTGTGCACCGCTGTATTGCTCTCCCAGCAGATATCGGGGTGATTGAAGTCCCCCATGAGAACCAGGGCCTGTGATCTGGAAACTTTTGTAGTTGCCCAAAGAAAGCCTTGTCCACCTCCTCCCCCTGGTCTGGTGGTCTATAGCAGATGCCCAACACGACATCACCCTTGTTGCTCTTGCCTCTAAACTTCACCCAAAGACTCTCAACAGGCTGTTCTCCAGTTTCATACTGGAGCTCTGAGCAATCAGACCGCTCTGTTACCTACAACTCCTCCACCTTTTCTGCCCTGCCTGTCCTTCCTGAACAGTTTATACCCATCCATGACGGTGCTCCAGTCATGTGAGTTACCCCACCAAGTCTCTGTTATTCCAATCACATCATAGTGCCTTGATTGTGCCAGGACTTCCAATTCTTCCTGCTTGTTTCCCAGGCTTCTTGCATTCGTGTACAGGCACTTAAGATAACTAGCTGATTGCCCCACTTTCTCAGTATGAATCAGGAGGCCTCCCCTGCTGCACCCTCCTCCTTGTGCTTTCTCCCAGTATCCCACTTACCTCTGGGCTTAGGTCACCATCCCCCAGCGAACCTAGTTTAAAGCCCTCCATGCTAGGTTACAGAGTAACAGCCGTGTTAGTCTGTATTCGCAAAAAGAAAAGGAGGACTTGTGGCACCTTAGAGACTAACCAATTTATTTGAGCATAAGCTTTCATGAGCTACAGCTCACTTCATTGGATGAGCTGTAGCTCACGAAAGCTCACGCGTGCTAGGTTAGCCAGCCTGCCTGTGATGATGTTCTTCCCTCTCTTCATTAGGTGGATCCCATCTCTTCCTAGTAATCCTTCTTCCTGGAACAACAGCCCATGGTCAAAGAATCCAAAGCCCTCTCTCTGACATCACCTGTGCAACCCCGCATTTACCTCCACAATTTGATGGTCCCCACCTGGCCCTTTTCCTTCAACAGGGAGGATGGACAAGAACACAACTTGCACCTGAAACGCCTTTATCCTTCTTCCCAGAGCCATGTAGTCTGCAGTGACCTGCTCAAGGTCATTCTTGGCAGTATCATTAGTGTCCATGTGGAGAAGAAGGAAGGGATAGCAGCCCGAGGGCTTGACCAATCCTATTCAATTTATTCATAAATGATCTGGAGAAAGGGGTAAACAGTGAAGTGGCAAAGTTTGCAGATGATACTAAACTGCTCAAGATAGTTTAAGACCGAAGCAGACTGAAGAACTTCAAAAAGATCTCACAAAACTAAGTGACTGAGCAACAAAATGGCAAATGAAATTTAATGTGGATAAATGTAAAGTATTGCACGTTGGAAAAAATAACCCCAACTATACATACAATATGATGGGGGCTAATTTAGCTACAACTAATCAGGAGAAAGATCTTGGAGTCATCGTGGATAGTTCTCTGAAGGTGTCCATGCAGTGCACAGCGGCAGTCAAAAAAGCAAACAGGATGGTAGGAATCATTAAAAGAGGGATAGAGAATAAGACAGAGAATATCTTATTGCCCTTATATATATCCATGGTACATCCACATCTTGAATACTGCGTACAGATGTGGTCCCCTCATCTCAAAAAAGATATACTGGCATTAGAAAAGGTTCAGAAAAGGGCAACTAAAATGATGAGGGGTTTGGAACGGGTCCCATCTGAGGAGAGATTAAAGAGGCTAGGACTTTTCAGCTTGGAAAAGAGGAGACTAAGGGGGGATATGAGAGAGGTCTATAAAATCATGAGTGGTGTGGAGAAAGTGAATAAGGAAAAGTTATTTACTTGTTCCCATAATATAAGAACCAGGGGCCACCAAATGAAATTCATGGGCAGCAGGTTTAAAACAAATAAAAGGAAGTTCTTCTTCACTCAGTGCACAGTCAACCTGTGGAACTCCTTGCCTGAGGAGGCTGTGAAGGCTAGGAATCATAGAATCATAGAATATAAGGGTTGGAAGGGACCCCAGAAGGTCATCTAGTCCAACCCCCTGCTCGAAGCAGGACCAATTCCCAGTTAAATCATCCCAGCCAGGGCTTTGTCAAGCCTGACCTTAAAAACCTCTAAGGAAGGAGATTCTACCACCTCCCTAGGTAACGCATTCCAGTGTTTCACCACCCTCTTAGTGAAAAAGTTTTTCCTAATATCCAATCTAAACCTCCCCCACTGCAACTTGAGACCATTACTCCTCGTTCTGTCATCTGATACCATTGAGAACAGTCTAGAGCCATCCTCTTTGGAACCCCCTTTCAGGTAGTTGAAAGCAGCTATCAAATCCCCCCTCATTCTTCTCTTCTGCAGGCTAAACAATCCCAGCTCCCTCAGCCTCTCCTCATAACTCATGTGTTCCAGACCCCTAATCATTTTTGTTGCCCTTCGCTGGACTCTCTCCAATTTATCCACATCCTTCTTGAAGTGTGGGGCCCAAAACTGGACACAGTACTCCAGATGAGGCCTCACCAATGTCGAATAGAGGGGAACGATCACATCCCTCGATCTGCTCGCTATGCCCCTACTTATA